ATTTGGTATGCCATATAAACAGAATTCAGATCAGGTCCATAATTTTGAATCAGCTGTGTTTCATGAATGCTGCAAGCTGTTTGGCATACGAAAGACCAGAACAACGCCATTTCACCCACAGTCTCATGGGATGGTAGAAAAGTACAACTGGACACTGGAACAGGAATTGGCAAAGTTTTGTAATAGCCGCCAAGATGACTGGGATGTCTTACTCCCTCCACTGTTGATGGCGTATAGGACAGCAGAGCATGAAACCACTGGATACACTCCAGCAAAGTTGATGTTCGGTCGGGAACTTCGGTTGCCAGTGGATCTGTTAACAGGACGCCCACCTTATGAAGAGTTGCCTGCAAATGTGTCAGAATTCGTGAAAGTGTTATCGGAAAGGATGGATAATATTCACCATCAAGTGCGTTCAAACTTGTAAATGTCTGTTGATTCGATGCAGTTATCTTATGATAAGAAATCTACTGAAGTCAGCTTTGTACCAGGAGACAAAGTGTGGTTATATAATCCCAGGAAGACCAAAGGGAAGTCTCCTAAGTTGTCTTCGCCATGGGAAGGCCCATATGACATAGTGGATCGTCTCTCAGACGTGAATTTCCGGATAAAATGTGGTCGGCGAAGTAAGCCAAAGGTGGTGCATGCCAAAAGGCTTTGGCGTTATCACGGTCCAGGACATTTCAGTTGGTATTAAGTGAACAACGGAACAAAAGACGCCACTGAAGACGTGTCACCTGGAAAGGCCATTGTCAAAGAAGAAACTCTACTAGGCTTTGAGAAGGGAAACAGTGAAGCCTTCATGAAGTTACTACCACTGATGTGACCATTACTGATGATAGGACAATTCCTGATGGAGCAGATGAACCTCACGTGAAGTAGAAGCCAGTACGGAAGAAGATATGTTCCGTAAAATTAAGAGATTTTGTTGAATTTTAATGTTTGTGTTTGTAGTGTTCGTAAATTCTGTACATTTAATTAAGTTATTGTTTATTATCTATTGGTTTAATTCAAGTGGCTATTGTTCGGGACGAACAATACTAAGGAAGGGGTAGTGTTACGACAGCGGAAGTCACGTGACACTGGTGACACGTGATGAGTTTCTAGAAGATTCACGAAGAGACGAGATGTACGTTTCTATAATATATAAGACCGCCAAGAAGTTACGCAACAGTGGATTTGAATTGCAGACAGAGATAGAGACGGACAATTGATTCAAGCGCGGTAGTGCGTGAATCGTTCGTTGTGAATTATAGCGTTTGTTTACGTTAAACTGACTGTGGAAATTAAGTGTATTTCAAAGTTGTATTGAGAAAGAATAAACTAGTTTTATTTAAGAAAGAATTTGTATCGCTGAAGTTTTTCTGGAAAAAAAAATTTCACGGAAAATTAACAAACGAACAGAGACGTAGCAAACTGGTGTCAGAAGCGGGGTAGAAAAAAAAGAAGATGGAAACGAGAGGTAGCAAATCAAACTACAGTTTAGCAGATTTGATGGCAGCGATACAAGAACAGCAAAAGAAACAAGAAGAACGATAAGATAAACAAGAAAAGAGATTACAGCAGTT